GCTTCAATTATGCTGAGGTGTATGTCAGCTGACCACTCAACAGTCCTGCCTTTTTGTGTTTTCACAGCCCTGTTTCTGTTTAATTCCATTTCCCTTTTATAGTAAAAGCCTCTAGCAATTGTTGGCAACCGTGTTTATAAGAGTGCTCTGTTTTGGGTAGGTTCATCCAAAAAATGTCAAGTAGCGTTGTAATGATGCTAGCAAAAATCAAGTCGTAACCGATGACAAAACTGTGAGAGACCCCATATTGTGTCCTCTGGGTTTCCACACTAACAACTAGATATCAGATCATGTTCAATATTTGTAATTTGGGTAACAATTCATATAAAAGGTACACAAATTCAAGTGCTTGTTTATTGCAAGTAAGGAAGTTTTTGTCCATGAGTTTTGGTCTTAATGTGCGCTGCTCAATATGGGCCTAATAAGGCAGCAGTACCACAAGAATAGTAGTTCTCCCATAATAACACTTAATATGATCTATTCTTATGTAACAAGACATGAAACTATAAGTGTTAATTGTGTCTGAGCAGAGCATATTAAGACCAAAACTCATGTACTTGCAATAAATAAGCACTAATTAGAGGGTTATTGAGGAAAAACTCTCAACTTATGGCTTATTACTTGTAGAATATGGTCATGTAGAATAAGGCATTAATACGTGTTTTATAATGACTAATAAAGAGCCAATATATTGCTAATATGCATGTTAATTAACAAGTAGTTGATGGTTAATTTGTGTACCTTAATATAAAGTGTTACCGTAATTTGAAACCGGTGCAGAACAGATGGACTTCAGAGCAGATTGGGGATGTAAAAGAAACTCCTATTTCCTATTTATTAACCATTGTCTGAAGAGGGGAACTGAACCAAAATTCAAGTGCATTGTTTGTATATAAAAACAATTTCTCTTCACTGTCAGAAGGGGGGAATCTTACCAAAATGAGCTTATAGATTTTGTGCAGTGTGTATACCACATTAGGAGTGTTCTTGACAGCCAGTCTGTAGAAAATGTAACACGTCAGGATCTTTCATTCACAGGTTCAGGTGTTATGAAGCTTAGGTGCATGGGCTTTAAACAAAGCACCAGTTGATGTTGTACTGCCATCAATCATAGGTTATTATTCGATTGGAAACTAATCAAATGTACATATAATATCAGTTAATTTGTGAAAACTGTTGTATAATGCAGTGACTTAGGGGAATCTTGTCTGAGAAAATAAACCCTGATGGTAGTTATCATAGCTAGAAGTTAAACCTTTTGAATAGGAAGTTTAAAACTGACATTTACCAGTCAGGGAAGATGAAAAAATGATATTGGGTAAGTGTATGATCAGTATTTTTGGCTCTTACGACAGCCCTAAAAGTCAGGATATATTGACCTCAGATGCTAAAATGTACGACCAACTTTATCGAAAGGACGACATAAAATAGCCTGAGTACAATTTGAAGGGGCCGTGAAAGATAAAACAAATAGTCCGTCCCCTAAAGGATTTATGTTTTGATTTACAGATAAAAATAAAACTTCAACTACACCTATAATTCCTGACAGAGCATAAAATAAAATAAGGCTCCAAGTTTGTGAGTGTGGTTAACGTCGCAGAACAGGTACAGTGAAATATAACGTCCTCAAGATCTAGACCGCTCCACTAAAAACTAGAGATCAGTGATATAAAGCTTGGTACAGAATAAAAGGAAGGCCTTGTTGTCACTGTTAAACAGATGAGCTTTTGTTATGTAATGCAGTGATCTATACAAGGTTAAAAGTCCAAGATGTCACGTAGCAAACATGTTTAGTCTACATGCTTCTCTGAGTGTGTAGAAGTGGACTCATGGAAAAGCATTTCACTCTTAAAGGGGCCCTATTTCTACTTTAAAGAGTCCTCTCCTGCTGATGTTCAGGTGTATATCAGTATGTAGTGTCTCTACTTTAAAGAGTCCTCTCCTGCTGATGTTCAGGTGTATATCAGTATGTAGTGTCTCTACTTTAAAGAGTCCTCTCCTGCTGATGTTCAGGTGTATATCAGTATGTAGTGTCTCTACTTTAAAGAGTCCTCTCCTGCTGATGTTCAGGTGTATATCAGTATGTAGTGTCTCTACTTTAAAGAGTCCTCTCCTGCTGATGTTCAGGTGTATATCAGTATGTAGTGTCTCTACTTTAAAGAGTCCTCTCCTGCTGATGTTCAGGTGTATATCAGTATGTAGTGTCTCTACTTTAAAGAGTCCTCTCCTGCTGATGTTCAGGTGTATATCAGTATGTAGTGTCTCTACTTTAAAGAGTCCTCTCCTGCTGATGTTCAGGTGTATATCAGTATGTAGTGTCTCTACTTTAAAGAGTCCTCTCCTGCTGATGTTCAGGTGTATATCAGTATGTAGTGTTTCTACTGGGACATGTCTCCATGCTTTAATGTTCAAAAAGCACTTTATTTTTCTCATACTGCCTGTGCTGCAGCACCTCTTTTCACCCTCTGTCTGAAACCAGAGCCCAGTCTGCTCTGATTGGTTAGCTTGCCGGCTCTGTTGTGATTGGTCAACCAGCTCAGAGATTTGTGAGTGTTACATAGTGATGTCACTTTACAGAAGTAAACAAAGGAGTTGAATGGAGGCAAGGGTGTGGGAGAGAAACTTACTCTGGATTTTAGCCTTTGAAGACTATTTCCATTCACAAAAACATATAACACACAAGAGGAAAGGGAAAATAGGGCCTCTTTAATTTAATGTTGTGTAAAGAGCCTTTGAAGCTGTTATTAAGGGATTTGAGGAACACATATACTGAATGATAAGACCACAGATCCAGCTGAAACTCTTGACATTTCACAGCAGATTGTACTTTTTTTTCAGCTTAGGCACTATCATAAGGGAATCATGATTCTTTCACCTCTTCTTCCTAATGAACTTTAAAAAGGAGGGTTTTTATTTCACTGAGCTTGTATCACTGCACCCCGACTTCTCACTCTGCTGCCTCAAGAGACACAGAGGGAAATAAATAGAGAAACCAAAATTGATTTTTCTGCTCTTTGAAAGCCCCAAATGTGTTTTTTTTATAAATCCTCAAATCCTTGGAATAAAAAGCTACTAATTTCTGCGGAAATACAATTTCCTCTATGTATTGATATTTGACCGCCTCATTGTGGAGGCCAATGGTAATCATTAGACGGATTACCGCTCAAATAATATTCAATGAAATTACATTTTTAGGAAGCACATTATAGTTGAGTGACCTTCTCTGAGCTCATGAGTCAAACTGGGAATGAGACTCTGAGAATAATGGGGTTTTTGGGGGGAGTTTCCAATGATGGGCTGTCAAAGTGCTCTCTTGTGCGGGAAGAACAAGGAGGAAAGGAAACTAAAAATAAGTAAATTATTCAGACAGACTTGAGCTGTTATTCTATCTTTCTGACTGTCGGTCTATCCAGTTGCAGTTCTATAGAAATAACAGGATCTTGATGGGAATCAGTAAAGCTAAATACAGCATGACACTCCTATGAAACGGAGCATTACTAACCAATTCCTGTTTACTGATGTTCCTCCTCCTACTTTTAAAAATAATGTCTGTCTGTCCAGATTTAAATGTCTCCACAACTATTGGCTGAATTACATTTTCATTTTATCTTCAATTGGACATTTTACTTTAACTTCTTAAAGGTGGGGTAGGTAAGTTTGAGAAACCGGCTCGAGATACACTTTTTGTTATATTCCATGGAATGCTCTTAACATCCCGATAGCAATGAATATCTTAAGTGCTTTGACAAAAAATACATAAAAAAATGTCATCTGTGGAAGCCGTAGTACTGTAAAAAGCACGACCAATCATCTGAGCCGGCCCGGCTAAAATAACTGGATGGCCTACCTGCCTGTCAGCCTTCCATCTGCGCACAAACTTATCTCGTGCCCTCATTGGTCATGTGCGCGTTCGTGTGTGTTGGAGGAGGGGCTCTGTAAGGAAGTGGCAGATTTTCTCCGGTTGTGTATTTTCAAATTCTAGTGCACTCGAGCTGGTTTCTCCAAACTTACCTACCCCACCTTTAAGGTCTTGTATGTCTAACGTTTATCCCGCTTTTTAAAAAAAAAATCTTATTATTGGACTTTTTTTTTCTCTTTTAACTTCTCGTTTATATATTTTTTATTTTTTATTGGACATATTACCAAGACTTCTTGTGTTTATATAAGTATATATTTTTCGTATGTTTAATTGTTTTCTTAGTTCATTTTTTAAGATGGAGCAACTTTAACTAAACCCACTTTCCCTTGGGATGAATAACTCATAGCCATCACAGGATGAATTGCAATCACTTTGGGGTTCTTTTAAAAGTTGTTTTCAAAAATTATATATGAACAATATTTTTTTTTAGAACCAAAAACCTGCAGAACTAATGCGAGTGACATCGCCTTCCTTTGTGTTTAGAGCCAATTAGCAAATATTAGCATTCAAACCTTCTACATTTGGATTGGGCAACACTGATAACAGTCTGTAAGCATTGAGATTATTATCGATATAGATTCATCTGACATTTATTTTGTCTCTAAGAATAAAAATGTTCTTGTTTTTCTCAGATCCAAAGGTGACATATTAACCTTGTTTGTTTTTATCCAGTCCATAACAAATATTTCGTTTTTTTATATTATTTGATAAAGATAATCATAAAATCCTCGGAGGCTTAAACCAGGGAATGCTTGTAAAATGACTGAAACATTAAATCAATTGTAAATAAAATGGTGTCTGATTAATTTCCCATGGACGAAGTAATCCATTAATCTACTAATCTTGTCAGTGAAATCACAAATCATGGAGAACTCATTAGACGAGGAGAGGTCCTAACGTTTGACAGGCAGCTCTTCTCGTCCATAAACTGATAGCTGGCAGTCTGATGGAAAAAGTTTGCCTAATAAATCAAATTATGTAAAATGATGGGAGGTTTATGACTGCACCGAGGATCACGAGTCACTCTCTGCCTCCTTTCTAAAACCTCTCAAAGAATCATGATCAGAAGGAGGAGGCTCACCATCTCCTGAGAGGCTGTTCTGTCAGAGGGATGCTCCGCAGAGCCGCTCCCAAAAGCATCAGGAAGGCCGAGAGGAGGAGGGACGCCCGCAGACCTGGGGGAGAGAGAGAGGGAGAGATGAAGGGGGAGAGAAGAGTTAAAGGTCACCTATTATGCAAAATCCACTTCTTCATGTCTCTTCTACATCAACATGTGTCCCCTCTTCTTCATGTCTCTTCTACATCAACATGTGTCCCCTCTTCTTCATGTCTCTTCTACATCAACATGTGTCCCCTCTTCTTCATGTCTCTTCTACATCAACATGTGTCCCCTCTTCTTCATGTCTCTTCTACATCAACATGTGTCCCCTCTTCTTCATGTCTCTTCTACATCAACATGTGTCCCCTCTTCTTCATGTCTCTTCTACATCAACATGTGTCCCCTCTTCTTCATGTCTCTTCTTCATCACCATGTGTCCCCTCTTCTTCATGTCTCTTCTACATCAACATGTGTCCCCTCTTCTTCATGTCTCTTCTACATCAACATGTGTCCCCTCTTCTTCATCAACATGTGTCCCCTCTTCTTCATGTCTCTTCTACATCAACATGTGTCCCCTCTTCTTCATGTCTCTTCTACATCAACATGTGTCCCCTCTTCTTCATGTCTCTTCTACATCAACACGTGTCCCCTCTTCTTCATCAACATGTGTCCCCTCTTCTTCATGTCTCTTCTACATCAACATGTGTCTCCTCTTCTTCATGTCTCTTCTACATCAACATGTGTCCCCTCTTCTTCATGTCTCTTCTACATCAACATGTGTCCCCTCTTCTTCATGTCTCTTCTACATCAACACGTGTCCCCTCTTCTTCATCAACATGTGTCCCCTCTTCTTCATGTCTCTTCTACATCAACATGTGTCCCCTCTTCTTCATGTCTCTTCTACATCAACATGTGTCCCCTCTTCTTCATGTCTCTTCTTCATCACCATGTGTCCCCTCTTCTTCATGTCTCTTCTACATCAACATGTGTCCCCTCTTCTTCATGTCTCTTCTTCATCACCATGTGTCCCCTCTTCTTCATGTCTCTTCTACATCAACATGTGTCCCCTCTTCTTCATGTCTCTTCTACATCAACATGTGTCCCCTCTTCTTCATGTCTCTTCTACATCAACATGTGTCCTCACTTCTCCATGTCTCTTCTTCATCAACATGTGTCCCCTCTTCTTCATGTCTCTTCTTCATCAACACGTGTCCCCTCTTCTTCATGTCTCTTCTACATCAACATGTGTCCCCTCTTCTTCATGTCTCTTCTACATCAACATGTGTCCCCTCTTCTTCATGTCTCTTCTACATCAACATGTGTCCCCTCTTCTTCATGTCTCTTCTTCATCACCATGTGTCCCCTCTTCTTCATGTCTCTTCTACATCAACATGTGTCCCCTCTTCTTCATGTCTCTTCTTCATCACCATGTGTCCCCTCTTCTTCATGTCTCTTCTACATCAACATGTGTCCCCTCTTCTTCATGTCTCTTCTACATCAACATGTGTCCCCTCTTCTCCATGTCTCTTCTACATCAACATGTGTCCCCTCTTCTTCATGTCTCTTCTACATCAACATGTGTCCCCTCTTCTTCATGTCTCTTCTACATCAACATGTGTCCCCTCTTCTCCATGTCTCTTCTACATCAACATGTGTCCCCTCTTCTTCATGTCTCTTCTACATCAACATGTGTCCCCTCTTCTTCATGTCTCTTCTTCATCAACATGTGTCCCCTCTTCTTCATGTCTCTTCTACATCAACATGTGTCCCCTCTTCTTCATGTCTCTTCTTCATCAACATGTGTCCCCTCTTCTTCATGTCTCTTCTTCATCAACATGTGTCCCCTCTTCTTCATGTCTCTTCTACATCAACATGTGTCCCCTCTTCTTCATGTCTCTTCTACATCAACATGTGTCCCCTCTTCTTCATGTCTCTTCTACATCAACATGTGTCCCCTCTTCTTCATGTCTCTTCTACATCAACATGTGTCCCCTCTTCTTCATGTCTCTTCTACATCAACATGTGTCCTCACTTCTCCATGTCTCTTCTTCATCAACATGTGTCCCCTCTTCTTCATGTCTCTTCTTCATCAACATGTGTCCCCTCTTCTTCATGTCTCTTCTACATCAACATGTGTCCCCTCTTCTTCATGTCTCTTCTACATCAACATGTGTCCCCTCTTCTTCATGTCTCTTCTACATCAACATGTGTCCCCTCTTCTTCATGTCTCTTCTACATCACCATGTGTCCCCTCTTCCTCATGTCTCTTCTACATCAACATGTGTCCCCTCTTCTTCATGTCTCTTCTTCATCAACATGTGTCCCCTCTGTGTAAAGAGACTCTGAAAGTTTCAGGAACAAAGATTCTCTCTTTTTGTCCTGATCCATTTTTATAAAAACCTGTCTGAAAATGAGCTGATCAGATTTTGGCCACTTTATGATGTCATCACGATGTTTTGGCTTGTGTAACCATTAGCCAATCACCAACCAAGGTAACCCCCCCCCCCCTTGCATTAAGTTCATTGTCGAGTTCAGCCTTCTCTTTCTCAAGCATCTTGTCTGAGAGCAACAAAACAAAAGTAATTAGTGTCTTTCTATTGCTTTGGGGCGTGTGTAGCTTCATCTAATCTTTCACGAGCGTACATATGCATACCCAGAGGAGCAGAGAGGAGTTAATGAACTCTGAAGGTTTAGCAAAAGGCTACAAAGAGAAACCGCAGTGCTCCAAAGAGACAGAGTTTGGGAATGGCCCAGTGGCTTGTCTTCAACACTATATTACAATGTGCCTCTCAAGTCCTGCTTAGCTGCTGAAACAAATTGAATCAACTTTCAGAGAAGTGTCCCTGCTCGTGTGATGACAAGTACAACTGAGGCATCCAGGAACAAGTGGGAGACAGGACATGATCTAGCTTTTCTGCAAAACAATGCATGTCTCCAGTAACAGATTAGGACACAGAGGAAGCAGACGTTTGGAAATGAGGAGACGCCTTTTTGTTTCTGAAGCTTCTGTCTCGTCTCACTTTGTGTTTCAGGATCAGTATCTTCAATATGTTGTGTTTTTTCTTTATCATTATTATAATAATAAAGCTTTTATTTGTACAGCACTTTCAATACACCAGGTGCAGCTCAAAGTGCTTTAACAACAAGGCACACGTCACATTACATTAAAGGTCACCTATTATGCTAAATCCACTTGTTCATGTCTCTTCTACATCAACATGTGTCCCCTCTTCTTCATGTCTCTTCTACATCAACATGTGTCCCCTCTTCTTCCTGTCTCTTCTACATCAACATGTGTCCCCTCTTCTTCATGTCTCTTCTACATCAACATGTGTCCCCTCTTCTTCATGTCTCTTCTACATCAACATGTGTCCCCTCTTCTTCATGTCTCTTCTACATCAACATGTGTCCCCTCTTCTTCATGTCTCTTCTACATCAACATGTGTCCCCTCTTCTTCATGTCTCTTCTACATCAACATGTGTCCCCTCTTCTTCATGTCTCTTCTACATCAACATGTGTCCCCTCTTCTTCATGTCTCTTCTACATCAACATGTGTCCCCTCTTCTTCATGTCTCTTCTACATCAGCATGTGTCCCCTCTTCTTCATGTCTCTTCTACATCAACATGTGTCCCCTCTTCTTCATGTCTCTTCTACATCAACATGTGTCCCCTCTTCTTCATGTCTCTTCTACATCAACATGTGTCCCCTCTTCTTCATGTCTCTTCTACATCAACATGTGTCCTCTCTTCTTCATGTCTCTTCTACATCAGCATGTGTCCCCTCTTCTCCATGTCTCTTCTACATCAGCATGTGTCCCCTCTTCTTCATGTCTCTTCGACATCAACATGTGTCCCCTCTTCTTCATGTCTCTTCTACATCAACATGTGTCCCCTCTTCTTCATGTCTCTTCTACATCAACATGTGTCCCCTCTTCTTCATGTCTCTTCTACATCAACATGTGTCCCCTCTTCTTCATGTCTCTTCTACATCAACATGTGTCCCCCCCTCTGTGGAAAGAGACTCTGAAAGTTTCAGGAACAAAGATTCTCTCTCTTTTTGTCCTGATCCATTTCTATAAAAACCTGTCTGAAAATGAGCTGATCAGATTTTGGCCACTTTATGATGTCATAACGATGTTTTGTCTTGTGTAACCATTAGCCAATCACCAACCAAGGTAACCCCCCCCCCCCCACCTTATCACCTGAATCTCCTCCTAGAGCACCATTGAGTTCTTTTTAACCAAATCTCTCTCATGCCCCTTTCACACCAACGCAACTCCGGTTCAAGCTCCGTGCTAGAGCTTTTCTGGTTCAGAACCGGTTCTTCGGTTTAGCGCCGGCTCTTTTCACACCGCTCAGAGCCCGACTGGTGCTGCTGCTGCTGCGTCATGACGTCACAGTTTACGTCGCTGAGTTTCTCCCCAACGCCGGAGCTCACTTCACAACAACAACGGGCCGGGGACTGCGTTGCTTTTAATCATACGAAGCCAGATTAAATTAAATAACGACTTCTCCAACCTTATACTTTTCTCCAGAGTGCCGTGGTTCATTGTTTATTAATGTGTTTCAGCGGCATGTACCGACCGCTGCAGTGCTGGCTGCTCTTCAACGGGAGTGTATTCTCCCGTTAGCTCCGGGTTAGCTCACACGGCTCTAAAGTATTCACTGTCTGACTGTCACACAAGCAGCTGATACATATCCCCAGTTCCCCTTAAGTGAATGTGTGTCAGTCTGAATTGACGCTGTTTGGTGTCAGTCTGAATTGACGCTGTTTGGCATCACAACGCTGTTATGAAAGTTTCTCTGGTATAACATGGGTGATGTTAGCATAGCAACCGAAGCTAAACTGACTACTTGCTAAGCAGTTTTCTACAGGCACTTTTTACCGACGTATTTTTCATTATGATTCTACTTGTGATAGTCGGACATGACAACCTGTGCAGCCCATGTATTGATTCCATCCGATAGCTGCTATAATAACAAACGTCTGCCTGCTCTCCACAATGATCAATAACAGCGAACGGATGGTCAAAGTAAGGTACAAATAAACAGAATCACACGAAGCCTGGTTAGTG